GATGAGGCAGCCAGGTAGTGAGGGACATATCCGGACGGACTACCCTTTAAAAAATTCCTGGAAATTTTCGACCCGTCCGAATTGATCCCGTATTCCTCAGAGCGGTAGGCTGCCACCTTGACCTCTCGGCCATCCGGCCTGCTTTTTTTTTTTTTTTTTTTTTTTTTTTTTTTTTTTTTTTTTTTTTTTTTTTTTTTTTTTTTTTTTTTTTTTTTTTTTTTTTTTTTTTTTTTTTTTTTTTTTTTTTTTTTTTTTTTTTTTTTTTTTTTTTTTTTTTTTTTTTTTTTTTTTTTTTTTTTTTTTTTTTTTTTTTTTTTTTTTTTTTTTTTTTTTTTTTTTTTTTTTTTTTTTTTTTTTTTTTTTTTTTTTTTTTTTTTTTTTTTTTTTTTTTTTTTTTTTTTTTTTTTTTTTTTTTTTTTTTTTTTTTTTTTTTTTTTTTTTTTTTTTTTTTTTTTTTTTTTTTTTTTTTTTTTTTTTTTTTTTTTTTTTTTTTTTTTTTTTTTTTTTTTTTTTTTTTTTTTTTTTTTTTTTTTTTTTTTTTTTTTTTTTTTTTTTTTTTTTTTTTTTTTTTTTTTTTTTTTTTTTTTTTTTTTTTTTTTTTTTTTTTTTTTTTTTTTTTTTTTTTTTTTTTTTTTTTTTTTTTTTTTTTTTTTTTTTTTTTTTTTTTTTTTTTTTTTTTTTTTTTTTTTTTTTTTTTTTTTTTTTTTTTTTTTTTTTTTTTTTTTTTTTTTTTTTTTTTTTTTTTTTTTTTTTTTTTTTTTTTTTTTTTTTTTTTTTTTTTTTTTTTTTTTTTTTTTTTTTTTTTTTTTTTTTTTTTTTTTTTTTTTTTTTTTTTTTTTTTTTTTTTTTTTTTTTTTTTTTTTTTTTTTTTTTTTTTTTTTTTTTTTTTTTTTTTTTTTTTTTTTTTTTTTTTTTTTTTTTTTTTTTTTTTTTTTTTTTTTTTTTTTTTTTTTTTTTTTTTTTTTTTTTTTTTTTTTTTTTTTTTTTTTTTTTTTTTTTTTTTTTTTTTTTTTTTTTTTTTTTTTTTTTTTTTTTTTTTTTTTTTTTTTTTTTTTTTTTTTTTTTTTTTTTTTTTTTTTTTTTTTTTTTTTTTTTTTTTTTTTTTTTTTTTTTTTTTTTTTTTTTTTTTTTTTTTTTTTTTTTTTTTTTTTTTTTTTTTTTTTTTTTTTTTTTTTTTTTTTTTTTTTTTTTTTTTTTTTTTTTTTTTTTTTTTTTTTTTTTTTTTTTTTTTTTTTTTTTTTTTTTTTTTTTTTTTTTTTTTTTTTTTTTTTTTTTTTTTTTTTTTTTTTTTTTTTTTTTTTTTTTTTTTTTTTTTTTTTTTTTTTTTTTTTTTTTTTTTTTTTTTTTTTTTTTTTTTTTTTTTTTTTTTTTTTTTTTTTTTTTTTTTTTTTTTTTTTTTTTTTTTTTTTTTTTTTTTTTTTTTTTTTTTTTTTTTTTTTTTTTTTTTTTTTTTTTTTTTTTTTTTTTTTTTTTTTTTTTTTTTTTTTTTTTTTTTTTTTTTTTTTTTTTTTTTTTTTTTTTTTTTTTTTTTTTTTTTTTTTTTTTTTTTTTTTTTTTTTTTTTTTTTTTTTTTTTTTTTTTTTTTTTTTTTTTTTTTTTTTTTTTTTTTTTTTTTTTTTTTTTTTTTTTTTTTTTTTTTTTTTTTTTTTTTTTTTTTTTTTTTTTTTTTTTTTTTTTTTTTTTTTTTTTTTTTTTTTTTTTTTTTTTTTTTTTTTTTTTTTTTTTTTTTTTTTTTTTTTTTTTTTTTTTTTTTTTTTTTTTTTTTTTTTTTTTTTTTTTTTTTTTTTTTTTTTTTTTTTTTTTTTTTTTTTTTTTTTTTTTTTTTTTTTTTTTTTTTTTTTTTTTTTTTTTTTTTTTTTTTTTTTTTTTTTTTTTTTTTTTTTTTTTTTTTTTTTTTTTTTTTTTTTTTTTTTTTTTTTTTTTTTTTTTTTTTTTTTTTTTTTTTTTTTTTTTTTTTTTTTTTTTTTTTTTTTTTTTTTTTTTTTTTTTTTTTTTTTTTTTTTTTTTTTTTTTTTTTTTTTTTTTTTTTTTTTTTTTTTTTTTTTTTTTTTTTTTTTTTTTTTTTTTTTTTTTTTTTTTTTTTTTTTTTTTTTTTTTTTTTTTTTTTTTTTTTTTTTTTTTTTTTTTTTTTTTTTTTTTTTTTTTTTTTTTTTTTTTTTTTTTTTTTTTTTTTTTTTTTTTTTTTTTTTTTTTTTTTTTTTTTTTTTTTTTTTTTTTTTTTTTTTTTTTTTTTTTTTTTTTTTTTTTTTTTTTTTTTTTTTTTTTTTTTTTTTTTTTTTTTTTTTTTTTTTTTTTTTTTTTTTTTTTTTTTTTTTTTTTTTTTTTTTTTTTTTTTTTTTTTTTTTTTTTTTTTTTTTTTTTTTTTTTTTTTTTTTTTTTTTTTTTTTTTTTTTTTTTTTTTTTTTTTTTTTTTTTTTTTTTTTTTTTTTTTTTTTTTTTTTTTTTTTTTTTTTTTTTTTTTTTTTTTTTTTTTTTTTTTTTTTTTTTTTTTTTTTTTTTTTTTTTTTTTTTTTTTTTTTTTTTTTTTTTTTTTTTTTTTTTTTTTTTTTTTTTTTTTTTTTTTTTTTTTTTTTTTTTTTTTTTTTTTTTTTTTTTTTTTTTTTTTTTTTTTTTTTTTTTTTTTTTTTTTTTTTTTTTTTTTTTTTTTTTTTTTTTTTTTTTTTTTTTTTTTTTTTTTTTTTTTTTTTTTTTTTTTTTTTTTTTTTTTTTTTTTTTTTTTTTTTTTTTTTTTTTTTTTTTTTTTTTTTTTTTTTTTTTTTTTTTTTTTTTTTTTTTTTTTTTTTTTTTTTTTTTTTTTTTTTTTTTTTTTTTTTTTTTTTTTTTTTTTTTTTTTTTTTTTTTTTTTTTTTTTTTTTTTTTTTTTTTTTTTTTTTTTTTTTTTTTTTTTTTTTTTTTTTTTTTTTTTTTTTTTTTTTTTTTTTTTTTTTTTTTTTTTTTTTTTTTTTTTTTTTTTTTTTTTTTTTTTTTTTTTTTTTTTTTTTTTTTTTTTTTTTTTTTTTTTTTTTTTTTTTTTTTTTTTTTTTTTTTTTTTTTTTTTTTTTTTTTTTTTTTTTTTTTTTTTTTTTTTTTTTTTTTTTTTTTTTTTTTTTTTTTTTTTTTTTTTTTTTTTTTTTTTTTTTTTTTTTTTTTTTTTTTTTTTTTTTTTTTTTTTTTTTTTTTTTTTTTTTTTTTTTTTTTTTTTTTTTTTTTTTTTTTTTTTTTTTTTTTTTTTTTTTTTTTTTTTTTTTTTTTTTTTTTTTTTTTTTTTTTTTTTTTTTTTTTTTTTTTTTTTTTTTTTTTTTTTTTTTTTTTTTTTTTTTTTTTTTTTTTTTTTTTTTTTTTTTTTTTTTTTTTTTTTTTTTTTTTTTTTTTTTTTTTTTTTTTTTTTTTTTTTTTTTTTTTTTTTTTTTTTTTTTTTTTTTTTTTTTTTTTTTTTTTTTTTTTTTTTTTTTTTTTTTTTTTTTTTTTTTTTTTTTTTTTTTTTTTTTTTTTTTTTTTTTTTTTTTTTTTTTTTTTTTTTTTTTTTTTTTTTTTTTTTTTTTTTTTTTTTTTTTTTTTTTTTTTTTTTTTTTTTTTTTTTTTTTTTTTTTTTTTTTTTTTTTTTTTTTTTTTTTTTTTTTTTTTTTTTTTTTTTTTTTTTTTTTTTTTTTTTTTTTTTTTTTTTTTTTTTTTTTTTTTTTTTTTTTTTTTTTTTTTTTTTTTTTTTTTTTTTTTTTTTTTTTTTTTTTTTTTTTTTTTTTTTTTTTTTTTTTTTTTTTTTTTTTTTTTTTTTTTTTTTTTTTTTTTTTTTTTTTTTTTTTTTTTTTTTTTTTTTTTTTTTTTTTTTTTTTTTTTTTTTTTTTTTTTTTTTTTTTTTTTTTTTTTTTTTTTTTTTTTTTTTTTTTTTTTTTTTTTTTTTTTTTTTTTTTTTTTTTTTTTTTTTTTTTTTTTTTTTTTTTTTTTTTTTTTTTTTTTTTTTTTTTTTTTTTTTTTTTTTTTTTTTTTTTTTTTTTTTTTTTTTTTTTTTTTTTTTTTTTTTTTTTTTTTTTTTTTTTTTTTTTTTTTTTTTTTTTTTTTTTTTTTTTTTTTTTTTTTTTTTTTTTTTTTTTTTTTTTTTTTTTTTTTTTTTTTTTTTTTTTTTTTTTTTTTTTTTTTTTTTTTTTTTTTTTTTTTTTTTTTTTTTTTTTTTTTTTTTTTTTTTTTTTTTTTTTTTTTTTTTTTTTTTTTTTTTTTTTTTTTTTTTTTTTTTTTTTTTTTTTTTTTTTTTTTTTTTTTTTTTTTTTTTTTTTTTTTTTTTTTTTTTTTTTTTTTTTTTTTTTTTTTTTTTTTTTTTTTTTTTTTTTTTTTTTTTTTTTTTTTTTTTTTTTTTTTTTTTTTTTTTTTTTTTTTTTTTTTTTTTTTTTTTTTTTTTTTTTTTTTTTTTTTTTTTTTTTTTTTTTTTTTTTTTTTTTTTTTTTTTTTTTTTTTTTTTTTTTTTTTTTTTTTTTTTTTTTTTTTTTTTTTTTTTTTTTTTTTTTTTTTTTTTTTTTTTTTTTTTTTTTTTTTTTTTTTTTTTTTTTTTTTTTTTTTTTTTTTTTTTTTTTTTTTTTTTTTTTTTTTTTTTTTTTTTTTTTTTTTTTTTTTTTTTTTTTTTTTTTTTTTTTTTTTTTTTTTTTTTTTTTTTTTTTTTTTTTTTTTTTTTTTTTTTTTTTTTTTTTTTTTTTTTTTTTTTTTTTTTTTTTTTTTTTTTTTTTTTTTTTTTTTTTTTTTTTTTTTTTTTTTTTTTTTTTTTTTTTTTTTTTTTTTTTTTTTTTTTTTTTTTTTTTTTTTTTTTTTTTTTTTTTTTTTTTTTTTTTTTTTTTTTTTTTTTTTTTTTTTTTTTTTTTTTTTTTTTTTTTTTTTTTTTTTTTTTTTTTTTTTTTTTTTTTTTTNTGACTTTTAACGAGCGGCTCAGGCTTAGAATTTGTCAGTTGCACTTTGCGGTTTGTTCGGGAGTGTCAAAATACGCAATTTTACTTAAATTTGTTCAACAAAAAATTAGTTTTTTACTGTGGTCCATGAAAATGGAGGAGCAAGCTGTAGTGTTGGAGAAGGTGTCATGGTCTATAGACATGAAACAACGATTCGACGATGAACTGTGCAAAATTCGAGTTAATGCTGCAAAAAACAGTATTTTCTTAACCGAAACTACTTACCAGAAGTTAATAAATGATGTACAAAAAGCCAAAATGACTACTAAGAAGGAACCCAGGGATTATTGGTTGCTGAATCGCTATGATGTGATGATTGTAGAAAACAAAAGTAAACTCATTTATCCTGTTAAAGAAGGCGTCAGTACTATACAGTATTACGTCACGGACTCAGAATTATTTCACGTGCTTCATGAAGCTCATTTGGCTATTGGACACGGAGGACGTGATAGAATGTTGAAAGAACTTTCAGTCAAATACAAAAACGTTACACGTCATGATATTGAACTGTACATCCACCATTGCCAGAAAAAAACAGAAAGGTATTAAAAAGGGCATTGTTGTGAAACCTATGATTTTTTTCCGAATTTAATTCCCGTTTTCAGGTAGATCTTATTGACTTTTAGTCTCAGCCAGATAGAGAATACAAATTTATTATGGTGTACCAAGATCATCTCAAAAAATTTGTGATTCTTAAGTCTCTAACGTCAAAAAAGAGCTGAAGAAGTAGCCTACAACCTAGTGGACATATTCTCGTTGCTTAGAGCGCCATCTATATTATAGTCTGACAATGGTAGGGAATTTGCCAATAATGTGGTGACCAGCTTGAAGGAGTTTTGGCCAGCACTGAAGATCGTCCATGGGAAGCCTCGCCATTCACAAAACCAGGGTAGTGTCGAAAGAGCTAATCAAGATATCGAAAATATGCTCTGTACTTGGATGCAGGACAACAAATCTGACCGCTGGAGTGAAGGACTACGTTTCGTTCAATTTATGAAAAATAGAGCTTATCATTCTGGGTTCAAAAGAACACCATACGAAGCTCTTTTTGGCTGCAAACCTAAAGTAGGGCTTACATCGTCTTTTCTACCAGAAGATGTTTTAAAAGACATAAATACAGAGGAGCAGCTAGAAAAAGTAATAGAAAGCGTCAAAACAATGGAAAAAGGTGAACCTAATCAGATTATGCAAGAAAAAGAGCCTGTTTTAAAAAAACATGGATGAGATTATAGTCGTTAGTGGATTAAACCAACACGATGAAGACGCTTACCGAAGAAATTGCAGTTTCTGATACCTGTTCTGTGTGTGTTTAGTTCTTCACCCGAGTTAACTCGGGCAGGTTACATAGCGTTACAGAAAACTCGGTCCTTTCGGCCCCCAAAAATTTTTTTTGGATCTTTGGAATGTTTTTTGTCTCCAAATTTTTTCAAAAATTTTTTCCCGCGCGAAAAAATTTTATCGCGATTTTAATCTACCTTTAATGACGCGTGATTAACAATTAATTGTTTTTTAATAGGAGTTTGACATCAAATTTCATTCATCGTTTTATTCTAAAGTTGTAGTGCACCGATTTTCCTTCGGTAAAGTTATTTAATTAAAGCTAGTTTCTGATATAAAAATCGACCTCCAATAGTTTTTAATTTTTTTAATTAATAGATTTTATTATATATAAGTTTAATTAAGTCGGGGGGTCGGAAATCACAATAAAAATTTTAATTTTTTAAAAATATTTAAAAATATACAGCCAGCTAGTATTCACCCTACTATAAATCCATCGCCTCCTGAGACTTCTATGAGAATGTCCCGGGAAATCCAACTCCAGCTGTGTTGAAGGTCATCCAGCTGTGTAAACAATGACTCATAGGTGTCAAATTTCGCAGAAAGGCAAGACAATGGAAAATAAAGTTTGAAGCGTTTTCTTCAAAATTAACGCATTTCTTTCGTTTGTTTTCAGTTTTAAGTATTTTTTATGTTTAATTACATT